TGTCAAGCTTGTAAACCTCAATATCCATAATTTTTCAAGAGCTTATTCCGAAAGCCTCCGTAAACGTAAATGATGCAGAGAACAAAAAATAACTTGACATACCTATACTTAATACAGTGGCTCAGGAAGAGACCTTACAACTTTGTTCTTTACGAGAAGTCTTCGATGGTCTCGTTCGTAAAGTTAACAACTTGGATGCAGGTATACTGTGTTTGTGGAACGGCCATCTCTCACGCGTGTAGCCGTGCTCGGCAAAGCGGGTTCTCTCGGCTCGAAGGTCGAACACTTTCGAGCGTCGAGCACGGATTCCCGGCATCAGTGCTCGAAAAGAACGGCAGAGAGGCGGATACTTACATCTTGTAGTGGTGCTGCATGTGGTGACCGACTAGGTGCATGTCAGTGGCGTGCTGCTGTTGCTGCATCTGCTGGTGCTGCTGCTGTTGCTGTTGCGGCTGGTGCATACCCTGATGATGGTGAGTCTGCGGGGGGTCCAGGCTGGATGCACCCAGCAGGGTAGCGCTCTCCCTGAACAACGTTGCCACCTGCATCCTGGCTGTGTCGTTCGCGTTTTTGATTTCACCGGAAATGATCCGCCGTCGGCCGGCGTCGCGATGTCGCACGCGTTATTCCTTCTGTATCCGGATCTTTACTCTCGCGTGGATGCTTCCCGTCGTCAAAATCAAGGACGGCTTGTTTTGGGATAGAAACGGATCTAGGTAATCCCTGCGTAATGTGAATACGGTTTCTTCGTGACGATGAAAATCTACCGTATGTCCCCACGCGTTCTACGGCTCGAGATCGATACCGACTCCGAGATCCTTCGAAGGTGATTATTAGGATCACGGATAGTTCCGAGAAAGGTTCTTCGGATCGCGTGATTGTGGAATAATTGTGGATCTTTTGCAAGTCTTTCGATTACCACGACCGTGAGGGTGCTCGTAAATAATATCCCTTACTGTCTTTTAATTTCTAGAATCGTGAATAATCACAGGATACGATGTCCAGTCTGTAGTAACAGCGATTGAAGAATACAATTATCAATTATACTCGAATACGACTATTGTTCGTTTCGCTACCGAATCCTCCCCGACAACAGCTTGCAGAGAACGTGCCGTCGGCACTTGAAAAGCGCGGCTTTTCGCGTTCCTTGCTTCACGAACACCTGATTCGGAATAACACCTGATTAACGATCGCGGTATACACGCCGCGGCCAGCGGCACGACGACGCTCGTCGACGGCCACCGTCGCGGCGGCAAAACCGACGTCGATGACGATGCGGCGAAAATCTCTTTCTCTCTTTCTTTTATTCTCTGTTTTTCTCCCCCCCTCTTTCTCTCTCTCTCTCTCTCTCTCTCTCTCTCTCTCTCTCTCTCTCTTTCTCTTTCTCTCTCTCTCCCTCTCGGTGAATCCCGAGAGTCGAGAACTCAGTCGAGACCTCGAGAAGTCGTCATCGTCGTTACCCTCGTCGTAACGACCGTCGGCGACGTTACCAGCATCCTCTCCGCGAGACCGCGATCGCCAGCCGGAACGCCTCCGCGCCGACAGGCCGGAAGCCACAAAAGTCTCTCTACTCTCCTCTCTTTCCTCTCTTCTTCTGGGCCCACTCGCGTGCGCGCGCGCGCGCGGTCTGGGTCCGCTCGCACTAACACACACTCACGAAAGGCGCGGACGCGCACACAACACGCGAGCCGCACACGGGATCACTGGCCGCGCGGATGTACTTCGTTTGGGATTGGGAGCTTTCTTTCTCGGAGGAGTTTCTCTCCCCTCGGCCTTGCGTGCGTCCTCTCTCTCTCTCTCTCTCTCTCTCTCTCTCTCTTTCTCTTTCTCTTCGCTTCCCACTGTTCTTCTCTTCTGCCTCACTACGTTTATATTATCGTCCCTTCACCCGCGACACAATGCCGCCTCAAATTCACGCACTCCGTGTCGTCTGTCATGTTCTCGCCGCGGCCGTCGCGCGCACCTTTTGAATTACGCGCACCGCCCGCCGTCGTCTCGCCGCACCGCTGTAGCCGTCGATGCGATGCGGTGCGGTGTGGTGCAGCGCGGTGTGGTGCACCCACGCCCCGCTAAATGCAACCGCGCGCGAGGGTGGTTGGCGCGTTATCGTTAGTGATTCTCGCGCTTCTCACGGCGTGTGCGTGCCGGTCACGTCGCGCCAAGCACGACGACACTGCGCGGTGCGACGTTTCTTGCGATGACGTCTCTCCGCTCTCCGCCGTCGACTCCGTCGAGCGTTGTTGCTCGTGCCGATAACTCGCGATACCTCGCGATACTACACCGAACGATATCACGAGCCGAACTGAGAGGCGTACTGTGTACGTATTCTACTGTGCATATACTCGCACAGTCTCGTAGTGCTGCGTGAAATCTTCCTGCGAGAGAGACTTGTTCGACGTAACACGCGCGTACACGAATCGTGTTTCGCGGACGACTCGTAGACTTCTCCGCCGCTTTTTACGTTTCTCCTCTGCTCTCGCGAGTGCCTCTCCTCTTTTTCTCTCTCTCTTTCGAGTTCCCTGTCCTCGCCTCCGCGGCGCAAACTCTCCCTGTCCCTCTCTCTCTCTTTCTCTTTCTCTCTCTCTCTCGTCGTGTAAACACGCGCGCACACACACACCGCAGAATCTGTAACCGCGGCAGCAAGAGTCGGCACCGCACTGCTCGACCGTATCGCTCGCTCGGCCGCTCGAACCGCACCGCTCGTACGTTTCCGTTGTTGCTCGACGACGCTCGGTCATGTTCGGGTTCGAAGCCTCACGGCGGTGGAGGCGGTGGAGGCGGTGGCGGCTGTGGCTGGTCCGGCATAGTCTGTCCTTTGCTACTTTCCACTCTCCGTCTCTCTCTCTCTCTCTCTCTCTCTCTCTCTCTCTCTCTCTCTCGCCCTTCCTGTCTCTTCCGCCCGTCTCGTCCCCCCCCCTCTCTCTCTCTTTTCTCGTGCGCGCGTCCGCTCGCCTCTCTCTCTCTTTACCATTAAACCCTCACCCTCCTTTCCCTCTTCCTTCCCTCTCGCTCCTCAAATGTACTTCTCCGTTTCTTCCTCTTCCTCTCTCTCCCACGCACGTGCGCTTCCTCTCTCTCTTTGTCGCTCGTTTTCCCTCCTTTTCTCTCACGATCGTTTCATCTCCTTTATTCCGCTTCCCTTCTCCTCTCGTCTCTCTCTTCTCGTCCGCACACTCGTCCACCTCCCACATCCACCGCCCTCCTCTTTCTCCCCGTCTTTCTTCTTCTTTCTTCGTACGTCTCTCATTCTTTGCATCCTCCATTTTTGTTTTTTTTTCTTTTTATGACTGTCCTCGTCCCGCTCGCGGCCAAGGATAGTCGATGAGCGGACTCGACAGGGTTAATCGATCGCCGGCGATCGATGGTAAATCATGGCACGCGCCCCGGCGATCGATTGAGATAGATCGATCGTAAGTGCAGCCCGCGCGATCGTTACCCGGTACGCGGCTACGTCGGCCGCATCGACGATAAGGCACTACCGCGGAGAGAGAAAGAGAGAGAGGGGGAGAGAGAGAGAGAGAGAAACGAGCGTATAACGGTCACTCTCCGTGCGCGTAGCAGCCAACGACGAAGCCAGGGCCGAATTTACAACGGATCGGTACGTCCTTTCCACCTATGGACCGAGGACATTATGCAAATTAGTTCTTGCGCGCGAGCGGCAAGATTGTATTTGCGTGAGGATGTTGCAATGGTAAGATTCTTGAAGATGCGATCGGGGAAGACGGGTTCGCGCTCACATATTTACGTAGGTGATCTTTTTTTAGATTCTATACTAGTGAGCCTCCTTGAGGCATCTCCATTTTTATCTTCATCTTCATCTTTATCTTCATTTCGCCTTACTCCTTATTTTCATCCTCACCTTCGTCCTCACCGTTAGTACATCTTATATTGGCTTTTGTAATCTACTGACAATGCTGACAGTTTCGTGGTCGTAAATACGGCTCTTCGAAATACATTACTACTACTGTCTGTGTGTAATGGAGCACTTCTTAGATGGAGAACATTCGATTCGATTCGGTTCTGTTTGGTTCAGGTGTACATGTGTAAAGTTACGAGCGATTATCGTGGCAGAAAGTTTGCGACAAGTATGTACAATGCCGAGCAGCAGTTGCTGTAAAGAAGGTCATAAATATTGCAAACAGTTCGACGACGAGTTTGGATTTAGATGATGCATTCTTAATTTCGATTACTGAAAATATAGACTTCGCGAGGTCAACGTATTATGATGCTTCATGCTCAAAATTATATCAATGATGCTGCATTGCGAGTGTTAGTATCTACCAGAAATATCAGAAAGTTGCGAATTTTTAAGATCGATATAAGAATAATTTTCAACAATTGAAGTCTGTTTCCGAGTAAAATAACATCTTTTCATTTATTTTATTTACATTTTCTTATATTTTGTTTAATCCTAAGTAGATTATTCTTTGCGAATTCTGAGATTTTTACAAATGATAAATAATGACGATGTAATCGTTGCCTAAATAAGTTACCTGAACGTTTCTCAAATAGTAGCTCGTTTAAGATGCATTTTGAATTCTCTGATTGTGCGCGAGAGTTTCGAATTGAATATAAAATAAGTTGACGTATATATACGTATATATACGGGGGTTTAGAGAATAGCGAAGAGGATGAAATGCTCAAGTGCGACTGAAACAGGCAGATCCAGAATTAACAATCGGTTTTGCCGGATATATACGTATATACATCTCTAATAACACACATCTATATTTTCCCTACGTTTTCATTACTCCTCGCAATGTAATCCCGGCGACGCCGATAAACAATTAACGATTGCGGTATTAATCGGCCACGTCGTGATGCGGCTCGCCTCATTCCTCATCATCGCCGTTAGTTGTCGTCATCGTCACTACTGCCAGTGCACGCTGCCCGTCGCTTATCGTCGTCGTCGTCGTCGTCGTCGTCGTCGTCGTCGTCGTCGTCGTCGTCGTTGTCGTCGTCGTCGTCGTCGTCGTCGTCGTCGATCGCGAGCGACGCGATCGATCTCGCTCGGGGAGAAACGAACTGAATTATTATTCCCCAGAGTTGATTTCCGATTCCGTTCTCCGCGGGACACGATGGTGCGCCACGGTGTGCCTCGTATAACCAAAATAAACCTCGTGTGTACGTGCGCGGTCAGCGAACGAAGAAATAAAGAAAAAAAAAGGAAAAAAAAAGGGCAGGAGTAAAGAGGAGGGGGAAGGAAGACCACGAAAATATCGGACAGAGGTCCAGTTCCCGCGCGAGATCGATCTCCTTTTTTCCCTGCCCTCCTCGCCTCGCCGGTTCTTATTAATAATCGATTCGAATAATCGATCGTATAGTCATCGCCGGTCATCGCTGTGTCCGCTCGCCTTCGCCCTGGCACACCGATCCATCTGCCTATATTCCGCTCCGCCTGGATGCACGACCACCGCCACCGCCGTCGCCGTCGCCATAGCGCGCCGCGCTCGCCGTTACGTTGTGCGTATGCGTCAGCACGTACAATATCTCTGCGTGCACACGTACTACGTGTCCGCGTTCGCGTTGCGTCTGTGTGTTTGTTTGTTCGTGTGCGATGTGTACAATGCGCGCGACCGCGGAGCGCGAGGATGTGTTGCGACGGAGCAAGCGCAAGAAAGAGAGGAACGGAGAAAACGCGTGTGTGCGCGTACCTCTATGTGTGTCTGCGTACATGTGGGTACGTGTGTGGGTGCATACGGTGACCCTGCCGCGCTGGATGAGTGGGTGGAAAATCAGGGGCGTATCGAGTATCTTCGAGAATTCAGCGCACTCGCGAGAAATGCGCAGCTATGTCTCGGTATTCTTTAACACTCTCGTCGAACCAGGAATAACAATATATATTTTGCCGTGTGACTCTTGCGAGAAGAAGTTTGCGCTCTTCGTGAACGAAACATTATCGTGCCTTGTACCTTCTCTCCGAGTCTTTTATGTCTGTTTTCCCTTTCCTCTCGCACTTCTTTCTTTTTCGCGTATATATTGGTTTTGTTTCAAACATGGAAAGCATTCGAAAGTGCGTTCGAACAAAACAAATGTCGCGTTTTGGCTAAGTTTGTTGATTATCGAAATCCGTCTTCTTTCAACAACATCTACTACATTCTCTTTTTATTCTTCTTTTTGAACATCTAATAATACGAATCTTTTATTATCGTCTAATTTTCGTACATAGTTTTATTATTACATAAAAACTTTTTTACAAGTACATTAAAAACAAAGAATTTCTAGCAGTTGTATTATATTAATTATGTTTCTACCATCTTTGTTACGCGACTATTAGATAATCTTTTTTATAATGAATAATACGAAATCTCATATACCAGATTTTACAATGTTCCACGCGATAATTCATAGACTTTCTCCTGATTAAATTTCCGAAATAGTCTTCAGGAAGCCACGATGAAATTCTACATATCAGGCGTTCGCTCTTCTCTCTCTCAAGGGTGTCAAAGCCAAAACCTCTTGACACGCTCCTGCCTGGAGCGACACGTGTCCGTGTGTGCGTGCGCGCGCGCGCGCGCGCGCGTGTGTGTGTGTGTGTGTGTGTGTGTGTGCGCGCATAGCCAGGTTGCCACGAGAGGAGGCCCCCAGAAGGCGAGAGACGAGGAGCGAGTCAACGAGCGAGAGGGATGTAACGGTCAGGGAGGACGAGGGAGGTGATGTTCACGCGTAGGAGGAAGAGAAAGGGATTGAGGGAGAAGGAGATCCAACGGGTATGTGTGGAACACGTGCGCGTGAAAGAAGGACGGCGCGAGGTTGGACGAGGATCGTCGCTTCGCGAACGAAAGAGAGAAGAGATCAGCCGAAAGGGGGGCTGGGGGGAGGGGATAAGACTAGCACGCGAGAAAGAGGGATTCAGTCGGTTGAACAGCGACAGCGACATCGTCGAAGCCCACATACACATACACACGATCTACACACACGCCAGCGGATGCACACTGGGCCGTCAAGCTCGCGCACTACAGACTACCAGACTCCCACCACGAACTTTTGGAAAAATCAATAGAATACAAGAAAAGCCCATGGTGCGCCAGGCGAGCGGAGCCCTCTCCTCGTCCACCCTCATCATTTCCCTCTCTTTTTCTCTCTTGTCTTCATTCTCGCTTTTTCTCTCTTCCTCTCTCTCTCTCTCTCTCTCTCTCTCTCTCTCTCTCTACCTCTCTTCCTCTCCCCTTCACCCACTATCCTCCCTGTTTCTCGCCGCATCTCTTTCGCGCACGGGCGGTATCCGTGTTCGCCGCTGCTCGCAACAAAGAGAGGAAGAGATCGCGTGTATACACTGGCGATCGACGGAGATAGCCGGCATGCGTGCACGCATGATGGCCAAGGACGGAGATAAGGACGATGATAGGAAAGGGGAGCGGGAAGAAAAGAGGGAAGACTGAGGATTGTGTGTGAGAGTTTACGTGTGTATCCGACTATATCCAAGAGAGTTGAACGGAGAAAGAGACGGAAGGCTAAAAAAGAAAAAAAGAGAAACGAGAGAGAGAGAGAGAGAGAAAGAGAGAGAGAGAGAGGGAGAGAGAGAGAGGGAGAGAGAGAGAAACAAATCGTACTGTGAGCCTGATTTTAGTTGAACAGAGATGGCGAACGCGAAAGGGAAAAGAGGGAGAAAAATGCGTCCGTGTGCGCTTAATAGACGGGGCGGGGAGAAAGAGAAAGA